TCGCTACTAGTAGCAAGGGCATCGCTACTAGTAGCAAGGGCATCGCTGCTAGTAGCAAGGGCATCGCTACTAGTAACAAGTGCATCGCTACTAGCAGCAAATAGCTACTAGTAGCTTCTAGCTACTAGTAGTAGTGCCCTTGTTCCTAGTAGCGATGCCCTTGTTACTAGTGGCAAGAAGTGTTTGGGCCCTTTAAGAACCAAACACCTGGTGTTCTTTCCTAGGCCTTACTCTCTCCCTTCTACGTCCTCTTTTCCCATCTTTTCCCGTCTCTTTATCTTCACCTTCGACTCTTCGACTCGTGTCCTCCCGTCCTTGAGCTTCTCGCAGGTCGCACCGCTCCCTCCAATTCGGAACATTGGCGCCACCTGGGCATCCTGGTCAGCACAGCTGCCACGCAGGCCATCGCACTGGTACCTGCAGGTCTGGCCGAGTCTGGCCAAGGACTGGCCGTGCAATTCGTCCCATGGTTTGAGGATTAACAAAAGGTATTGCTAGTAGCGTCCTTTGCTACTAGTAGCGTTCTTGCTTACGTGAAAAGATCTACGACATTGTACGACTAATTGGGGACAAGATTTCAGGAAAGCTCACAAGTGGGGTTAGCGCCAAACCAGTCAACCCCCTACTGCAGGCAGCGGTGCATGTCTCGCAGCTGCACCACATCCCTTGGCGAGAAATCATTCCGTTGACCCATCTCGTCGTCGTGGACGCCCTCGCGACATGCAGTACCCACTTTGGGTTTCCTCTGCGTTCTCTAGTTGGAGGCCATCGCTTTTAGGTTTTCCTCTGTGCTCTCTATTGAATGCCGTGACGACTAGATAGGCGACAGTCATTCATGGTGTGGTTGAACATCATCGAGCTTTGGCGAGTGTGTGATCGTTTTCCATCTCCATATTCTCTCCATCACTTCATCCTTTTTGGTGAGTGTGTTAGCACTCATCGTTCTTTAAGCCAGTCATGCACTTTTGGATCTCACAACTCACTGACTATCACATGCAAAGCGAAGATGTTTGTGCTTGCTTCCGTTTCTTGACGACTGCATGGATAATCCCACTGATGGTCGCGGCGGAGCCTCAAAGCTAGATACCAAAGTGACTTAGATAAATTCTAACAGAGCTTGGCAAGAAGCTACTAGGAGCAAAGGGCATTGCTACTAGGAGCAAGAACGCTACTAGGGGCTCCCGGCCTTACTACTAGGAGCAAGAAGCTACTAGGAGCAAAGTCTTGGCAGGGCGCTTGGCCCTTTGTCAGGCGGCAGGGCGCCTTTCCATTTATCATTGGCAGACTGTTCATGGCGGGGCCAGCAGAGTAATGCATCACCGAGTGGTAGTCATAGGGCACCTGGGAATCTGTGCGAAAGAGTTCCGGAACTGCGCTAAATGGACATACACTGCATTGCTGCCGTCGTTAGGGTCTTTTGTGGGTCACTCAGGTACTCTGCTTCAATCGCAATTGGCAATTAGTATATAACAAGTGCCATCGCTATGAGTAACAAGTGCATTACTACTAGTAACTTTACTTACTAGTAGTAACGCCGTGGTTCAATGTTCCTAGTAGCTATGTAATGCCCTATGAGTCAGACTGAAGACACTCTGAAGCACTCCACAAATCACTCTGAGACACAAATCTAGCAGTGTGGGACCCAATGTAAGAGGAAGATCCGACGTAGTACTGCGCTTCGTAGTCCTGGCAGACGAACCATACATGGTTAAACCACTTGCCAACTTGCAAGTTGGGCCTGCACCTGGTGACATACTTTTCACCCCTCATTCTCAGGCAAGGGCACGAGCTCTTTGAAGTTCTCTTAACTCCCCATTTCTTTGGAGTTTCCTCAACGCCCAGAGTATGTTTTGCTTGGCTAACTATCCATCCACTTCCTCGGTCCACAATTCCTCTTCCAAGCAAGGTCTCTCTGCAAGTATTCCATGAGAGGTCTGTCTGCTATTCTGGTTCTACTCTTTTTTGATCTCTCGCTACTAGGTTGGAGGCCATCGCCTCATCTCTGGGTTCTCTTCGCTCTCCCAGCCTTTGGAACATGCATCCAGTTGATGGTCACATAATCATCACGGTCCTGACGGACACCGCAAAAACTTCAAGAGAGGACGAGCACATAGTGCTGACACTGTGAATATATCAAAACTCTGCTTACAAAATTCGTAAGCCGTATCCTGATCTTCCATGTGTTTGATTCCTTCTTCCATCCCTTCAAACGCTTTCTTCACTAGCACAGAAGGCGGCGAACGAAAAGGTGGTGCGGGCCTGGCGGGCCTGCTCATGGGACATCCCCAGGGCATGTCCCAACTCGTGGAGGATCACGCCCACGTTCTGTTCCGGCTACGACGATGCGAAGATGGTTTCAAACCACAAAAACACGCCGTGAAGTTTGCATGATAACGGTCATATACGGTCATTGTGGTCATAGGTGTGGACTGAATCCCCTTCCCGAAACGAAGTCAGAAAGCTTCGAAGGGAGAACCTGTGGACAACTCCAACCAACTAAACATGCAATGTGGCAATTGGAAACGGCTTTCTTTTTTGTGCCGCACGGCACCGGAAATGGACACTAGATTTGGTCCGGAAACGGAGAAGCAAATTGACAAAAGACAGATCATGGATGAGAGGTACTTAGCAGTTGCTAGTCTATCACTGAAAACTCCCCCTTCGACGGTTTGGCCGCGCTGCCTGACCGCAGGAGGCTAAATTCACAATGGCATCTCGCAAAAAGGTTGCCGGATATCCAATGGGGACTTAGCTTTGTGGCTGTTGGATGAGACAATGAATTAAAACAATGCTTCTTTATGGAGAGAAACACCTTCAAATCTGTGTGTGTGGTGTTCTGACGGGTTTTGCAATGATGATCGAAAAACATATACAGCCCTTGTCTTGCTCACTCTAAGTGCAGGCTGAGGGCCCGCATAGCAAGGTCCTGGATCCTTTTTGGTGAACACGATCTTGTAGGTTGAATTGTCAGAAGGCAAAACTTCCTCAGCACCCAGCATAGAGTGCGCAAGCTGAGGATTGCCAATCGATGCAACTTGCAACGGTTGAAAAAACTATTTGGTCTCTTGGTATCTCCAAATAGTTCAATTTCGCTGCGTCTCTCTTCGGATTTCGAGTGATGTCAAGCTGCAGTAAACTTGACACAAACCATCCGTTGTAGACGTTCTATGGCTTGTCGAACTGAGCTCTTGCTCAGTACATCCACCTGAAAGATTGACTTGGGAGTTGCTATTCTCGAACAATAAGAGCAATATTGTTTTTTTGGGAGTGGTGATGTTCAAAAAGAAAGGCGGAGATGTGTCTTGTCAATGAACGTTACAGAGATAATGATCTCTTGGGTCATTCCGTAGTGAATTATGAGTTTGGAGTTCAACAAAAGACTGTATCTGGGAAGTGTTTGGAATGGACATGAGATGCATTCCACAACTGCCTTTGGGATACACAAAGCAAACAGCAAACTAAACCCAAGAAAAGAGTGACGAGGAAGGAAGGAAGGAAGGAAGGAAGGAAGGAAGGGTCAAAAGCGAAACAACTATAAATATGAAAGAAGAGAAGTGCTTTCCACATGCCTTTCGAAATCGTTTCCCACCCACCGTCTCATCATAAGTGAAGGGAATACCCTGCTTGTAGACCGTCCAAATGGGCCAGGGCCATCCCGATGCACATTGGCCAGGGAAGCACGAACCTCGGAGCGTGCTTGAATGCGCAAGAATGGCTGAGTGATCGATGGCTGTGTGCTCCAAGCACATCAAGAACTGTGCTTACATAGGGAAACATCAAGAACTCTTCATGTTTACAAGATCCAAGTCACTGTTCAATGCCACTTCGACCCAATTCCGTGAGGGCGGCGGTGCAACCACCTTCTCTTTGGGTGGAAGCCCTGGTGGCAGGCGCTCTATGCTGTTCACAGGCGCTCTGCTCACAATGCTCCTGTCAGGTGATGGCCAGAAGTCAAAGAAATCACTTCTAGAGTCAGAGTGACGAGATGCTTAATTAGGTCAAAAGTGAGCACAGGAGCATCCAAACAAGTGCCAAAGTGGACGCACATAGGACCTGTCTGCTTGAGGGGTTCACCTTGCAAACCTGGCTTGACAAGCCGATAGGATCCAATTAGAAATGCAATTGATCTGGGACAGCAGGAATCCAGGCAAATCAAACGCCACTAGAATGGAGGCCATGGCTTGTAGCTTGGAGGCAATCACTATTAGGTTGAAGGCCATCGCTAGTAGGTTGGAGGCCATAACTTGTAGGTTGGAGGCCATCACTATTAGGTTGGAGGCCATTGCAAATAGGTTGGAGGCATTGCTCTTAGGTTGGAGGCCATCGCTCTTAGGGTAGAGGCCATTGCTAGTAGGTTGGAGCCATTGCTAGTAGGTTGGAGGCCATCGCTAGTAGGTCGAAGGCCATTGCTACTAGCGTGGAGGCCATGGCTAGTAGGTTGGAGGCCATTGCTACTAGGGTGGAGGCCATCGCTAGTAGATTGGAGGCCATCGCTCTTAGGTTGGAGGCCATCGCTAGTAGGTTGGAGGCCATCGCTTGTAGGTTGGAGGCCATCGCTTGCAGGTTGGAGGCCATCGCTTGTAGGTTGGAGGCCATTGCTATTAGGAGCGGAATCCAGGCAAACCTAACGTATTGATTAAATCGTACTTTCGGATTTCGCGCCTAATGTAAGTCAAATCCTCCTCGTTCAGATCCATCCGCCAGGCTTCAATGGGCAAACGGCCCAAAAACCGGGCGGCCAGGAGGCGGCACTCTGAACTGTTTGATGGGAGCGCCTAGCGCCCAGCATTCAGCAGGAAAGGAGATTTGGAAATCAATCAAAATCCTCTTCAACCAAAAATGGACTCCAACTACCTCCAAAATGGATCAAGAAAAGTAAAAAAATTGTCCTAAGGAAAAATCGCCGACTAGCCGCGTTCTTTTGCGTTCAAGACCGTTTCATTCTTGAAGCATTCGACTCTTGTCTTTTCTTGAAGCCATACAAACAGAGTAGTTCAGGCGACTTAATAACTTAACGCGGAAGCGTTTTGGTTTGTGCTACCACTACCAATGCTGTTGGCGGCCCGAAGGCATGCAAATTTGTGGGACTGTGTCGGGCTGTTTGTGTCAGTGTTGTCCGTAGAGATAATGTTGCCTCGAAATGAACTTGTTTCGGCATGGATGGGCATGGGGTGAGGCTATATTCACGGTTGTTGTGGCTGCTGTGATTCTAGAACATGTTCCAAAACAAGTGCGCTCTATTCTTGGTCGTTGGACTCTGATGACACGTTTGACCCAGAAAAGCATGTGTTCTGCATTATGAAGACAACAAAGCATCTCTTTGAAACACCGGCGGCGTGCAGGTCGCTATTTTCACGTTGTATTTCCAGACACGGACACGGACTTTAAAAAAGGAACCAAATAGCATTGCATGCGGTGATTGTAGTGGCATTTCAGAATTGGTACGCCTTCCACTGTTTAACCATCGGACACAACTTCGCGCTTCTCGATTCCTCTTGTCAATAACAGCTCCGGTACTTTTGATTCTACCGTTGATTCTTGTGGTACTATATAGTAACTGGTTGTCTCAGAATTCAAGTTCAAGACCCAACCCGACATGGCCTTAGACGGCTGAAATTGCAGAAACTCTCCTGGTGCTGCATCAGTGGCCCAGACCTGCACTTCGCGTCCAACCCGCTTGCGACTTTGAGGACACTCACTTTGATATTCTTGATATTGGGCTTTCAGTTAACTCAATTCCCGGGTCGAAAATGGTGAGGGAACAGCATGGCGAGAGAGTCAGTTCACTTGAAACGTTGAACAAGTTGTTTTGCGTGACTGCAGAAAGATCAGCGCGGCTGCACATCAAACGCGGCAGGAAAAGGGTTTGGGGAAAGTATCATGAGCAACCGCCATGCCAACAAACCGAGAGTGGAACAGCTTGAGCAACAGTTTCGGTTGCAGGTACACGAATGAATGGACGTCTCCATTCGCTTCCCCTCCAGCGACTTAGCTTCGTTGGACAAGGTTCATTGCTGGAGGCCTTGACCCCCTGCTGGAAAAGTGGAGTGATTGAAACTCTTGGAAACAGAGTGTGAAACACACACTCAGCCACTTTGCGGCGCTCCGGCGTAAAGACCTAAATAGGCACCTAAAAAGCCTTAGAAAAGAAAGAAAGAAAGAAAGACAGAAAGAGCAGCGCTAAAAGGGCAGGAGAGAAAGATAGGAGTAGCGAAAGGTGAATACTTAGTAGGGAAAAGAGCCTCAAGAAATACCTAAAAAGCCTGACAGAAAGCCCAAAAGAACAAGCGACAAAAAGCGCAAGAAAGAAAGTGGGGGGCAGGGAGGGGGTGTATGTAACATGTGTGTGTGTGTGTGTCCGTGTGTGTGTGTATGACTACCTAGCACTCTAGAATTTGGTGCAATGGTTAGGGAGCGGGGCTTTAGTCTTACACCGCCCCCCGGTAGAGTAGACTAGAAAGGGACAACAGAGGGAAAGGCACCGACACACACAAGTGTGTCGAGTACCATTCCCCTCTGTTACCCTAATTAGGGGGGGGGGGGGGTTTGGGGTGTGTGGGTAGAGAACGCGTTTGGGCTTAGTCTCCGTGAGCCCGGCGGCTTTGAATTTCCGTGAAGCCCAGCGGCTTTGGTTTTGGGAACACAGTAGTGAAACGAAAGTCCGTTAAGATAATCCAACAAGTGCAGAAAACGGAAAAGTCAGTTAGTGGTAATCACACTGTGCACCCACGTGGGACGGCACAACGGCACACACTTTGCTATTGGGTTTTCAGTTGACTCAATTCCCAGGTCGAAAATGGTGAGGGAACAGCATGGCGAGAGAGTCAGTTCACTTGAAACGTTGAACAAGTTGTTTTGCGTGACTGCAGAAAGATCAGCGCGGCTGCACATCAAACGCGGCAGGAAAAGGGTTTGGGGAAAGTATCATGAGCAACCGCCATGCCAACAAACCGAGAGTGGAACAGCTTGAGCAACAGTTTCGGTTGCAGGTACACGAATGAATGGACGTCTCCATTCGCTTCCCCTCCAGCGACTTAGCTTCGTTGGACAAGGTTCATTGCTGGAGGCCTTGACCCCCTGCTGGAAAAGTGGAGTGATTGAAACTCTTGGAAACAGAGTGTGACACACACACACACAAAGACATGCATTGGCAAACCGCTTGAATAGCGTCCTTTGCTCCTAGAAGCGATGCCCTTTGCTCCTAGTAGCTCCTTGATACCTGTTGCAATGTATGCACTCTCTTCATGCGCAAAGAGTCTGAGACGTGCAATGATGGAATTCCCGGCTTCTCCTGCAAGTTCTGTTGGGACGCGCCGCAACGGCATTCTTTGGCATCCACCACCCCAGATATGTCTAAGCCTGGCGACGTTGCACCGAAACCGGTGCCTTTTGTAGCAACTACTAGGAACAAGAATGCTACTAGGGGCTCCTGGCCTTACTACTAGGAGCAAGGACACTACTAGGGGCTCCTGGCATCGCTACTAGGAACAAGAAGCTACTAGTAGCTCCTGGCATCGCTACTAGGAGCAAGGACGTTACTGGCCTTGGCAAGAAGCTACTAGTAACAAGGACGCAACTAGTAGCTCCTGACACAAAATCACAGGTTTGGCAGTTGCTCGCTGACTCAGAATCTGAACCATCCGGTCCTACTTCCATCGGCAGGCATTTAGGGGGTTCCACTTCTCCACTGGGTTTGTGCGATTTCCCCCTGCGTCAGATACACCAGCACTTCACAAACTTCAGAACATTTTGGCCTTTGAGAAGACAAAGCTTCGCGCACCAGCGCCATGAAATCACTTGTCCTTGGGCGAAGTCACATCCAAACACCAGAAGTATCGTACTCACAGGATGTGTGTGAAGCGGCCTCAGCATAGCTGCTAGTAACAAGGGCTACTAATAACAAAGCTACTAGTAGCTCCTGGCCTTACTACTAGGAGCAAGGACGCTACTAGTTCTTTTGAAATTGAGTGTTGGGCCATTGGACCGCTCGCCCATGCGCTCAGTTGTTTGCAAGTGTGCGTTGATACTTGTACGATCTTGGAGAGCCTGATTCTTTATGTTTGAGTGAAAGAGTTCAAGCAAAAAATGAAACATGTTGCTCAGCTCTCTGAAATGCCAAGGCGCCGGTGCTGAAGCGGTAGAACGGGAGGCCACTTCGACAATTCGCTTGATTCCATATATCATGCTTCTTCGGATCCATGCAGGCAAAGTCTCCTAGGAGCAATTGCATCGCTTCTAGTAACAAGTGCCTTACTAGTAGAAACAAGAAGCTACTAGGGGCTCCTGGCATCGCTACTAGGAGCGAGGGACGCTACCAAATAGGAGCAAGGGACGCTACTAGGGCCTCCTGGCATAGCTACTAGGAGCGAGGGACGCTACTAGGGGCTCCTGGCATCGCTACTAGGAGCGAGGGACGCTACTAGGGGCTCCTGGCATCGCAAATAGGAGCAAGGGACGCTACTAGGGGCTCCTGGCATCGCAAATAGGAGCAAGGGACGCTACTAGGGGCTCGTGGCATCGCAAATAGGAGCAAGGGACGCTACTAGGGGCTCCTGGCATCGCTACTAGGAGCGAGGGACGCTACTAGGGGCTCCTGGCATCGCTAATAGGAGCAAGGGACGCTACTAGGCGCTCCTGGCATCGCTACTAGGAGCAAGGGACGCTACTAGGGGCTCCTGGCATCGCTACTAGGAGCAAGGGACGCTACTAGGAGCTCCTGGCATCGCTACTAGGAGCAAGGGACGGTACGCTACTAGGGGCTCCTGGCCTTACTACTAGGAGCAAGGGACGCTACTAGGGGCTCCTGGCCTTACTACTAGGAGCAAGGGACGCTACTAGGGGCTCCTGGCATCGCTACTAGGGTCAAGGGACGCTAGTAGCGAATATTCGTTACTAGCGTCCTTAGCAGAATGCCAAGAGCTGGATGGAGAAAGGCCTTGCTTTGTCTTCGGCTGAATGAGCTGCAGTATTCTGAAGTTGAACCAATGCGGTGACATCTTCCATAGACTGATTTAACCTTTTCGCAAAAAGGTTTCTGGCGCACCGTATTGCCAATGTTGTTGGAATACCAGAAGTAAATTTTGATTCTCCTGAATGAACTGCAAGTGATGATGCCGCTCCCTCCCTCCCAGC